TAGTTACCTCCTGCAAGTATTATAATAATAAGTACTGAATATTATAAATTACAACCTCGCATTAATTCTCAGTAAAAAAAATAAATAATAAATTATGTTTTGAAAATGAAAAAACCTTTATGTTGTTTTTAATTTGCATCGAATTAAAAAACCTTTTAATGTACAATGTATAATTGTATAATTTCAATATTCCTTAATTATACATAAATATAATTTCTTAAATTCTGCTAAAGATTCGACGTCTGTTTCTCAATATTATGACCTTTATTTTTCTATATGTAGGTACTTACATATCTAATGACAAAATGTATCCTATATAAAAACACAAAAAGATTAAAAAAAAATAGTGCAATTACTTTCGTGGTATACATCTTGGATTAAAAAAGGAACAACAGTATCTTGAACTGAAGGTCAATATCACATACTTTACCATAGACCTTGAAATGACTAGAATAGACATTTTATTAAAATATTTTTTTATTAATGTTTTTACGGTACTATATATGATAATATGTCTATAATAACCTACAATGCACATTCTAGTCTAGTCGCGGGCAACAGCTAGTCAATACATATCAATACATAGTATAAAACAAAGTCGCTTTCGCTGTATGTCCGTATGTATGCTTAGATCTTTAAAACTACGCAACGGATTTTGATGCGGTTTTTTTTAATAGATAGAGTGATTCTTAAGGAAGGTTTGTATGTATAAGACATGCATATTGCACCCGTGCGAAGCCGGGGCGGGTCGCTAGTTAACTAATAAATTAACATTGACTACTAAACCATAATCGTATTTACCCAATTTAATCTAAATTTCTGATGTTCTATCATAAGTATTATTGTATAATTTGTGTTGTGCCTAATTATGAATGATTTGATTGTTATTAATTAATTTTGTTTTGTTTAAATTTAAAAATTGTATTTCATAATTTTATTTAACTAATTCAATAATTTTGCATGTCGTAAGGCTAAATGTACTGGTATTCTCCATAAGCTATAAAACAACATATTTGTTACCTACATTTTTGGCAAATAAATTATTTTTGATTTCTGATTTCTGATTCACAAACCAGAGTACCTATACTCCAGTAACAACACAGCATACCTTCGAACAGCAAGTAACTCGACACCTCATTAAAATATAAAATTTAATATCTGAACACTTCCAAACAATCTTGCGAGTTGGAAACTTTTCAATTAATATCATATTGAAAGCGAATACTTCCTGAAACGAGGGTGTCTGTTCAACTGGTGAACTCATTCTGGTTACCAAATATATTTGTTTCTGTATTTATATAATACTAGTCTTACTTGACCCGGCAAACTTTGTACGGCCTAAAAATGTTTGTCACCTTTTAAACCTTCTCTGGACTTCCACGAACATTACAAGACCAAAATTAGCCAATTTGGTACAGCCGTTCTCGGGTTTTAGCGAGACTGACGAACGGAAATGCATTTTTATTTCGGTATATAGATATAGATTATTGTGGCGTGTCGAGCCTTGTTGTATGTAAATTTGTTTGGGAGCCCTTATGAAGGCTAAAAATTGCTCATAAGAGAACAAAAGTTATGCATAAATACTCAATCCTTATCCTTACTTCCTTACTAATATTATAAATTGGAAAGTGAGTTTGTTTGTTCCGCTTTCACGCCGTAACTACTAAACCGATTGCTTTGAATTTTTGCAGACGTAAAGTTAGAAGTCCGGATTAAATAATAGGGTACTTTTTATCCCCGAAAAATTTGATATTCCCTAGGGAAAACAAAAGTATTCTATATATAGATGGCGCTGTGTGTATTAGTATATGTCACATAGGCTACTTTTTATCCTTTTGTGACGCGAGCGGAGCCGCGGGTAAAAGCTAGTTCTTTATAAACTACGTTTAGAAACCCGACTTCAACGCCCTCTTTTTTAGAAGTCGAACAATTAAGATACTGAAATCTTCTCATAAGTGTAACAAACACTTTTTTATGGTATAAGCTGGTAAATGAGCAGACGGATCACCTGATGGTAAGCAACAGGCGTCGGCCGTGGACACCTGGAACACCAGAGGCGTTACCGGCCTTATTGGGGATTAGGAATTTGAGGATTGTTTTGTGCCTCCGGTAACCTCACTCACACGGCGAAACACAACGCGAACATTGTGTCACGTCGGTTTTTTGTGGTATCTCTGTAGCATCACTCCGGCTGGACCGACCCATTCATCAGAAAAACTGTGAACATATAAACACTTCGACTAGAACACAGCAGGACTTTGTCCATATTTCTTAACAATCAGATAATTTATTGTAATCAAATGCTATTTCCAAGCAGAGATATAACAATGAATCACATTTGTATAAGTTCCCGACATCTATTTTGGCAGTTTCTTTTCTCAAAATCGGTAATCATTGAAGACTGTTCAATAATCGGTAAACTTATCTTATTATATCTAAATTCTAAACCAAAATATATTATATCTAGTATTTCCATATATTTATTTAAAATTCTCTATAAATTACATTTTTAAATACTACTTACAAAATAAAAAATAATATTAAAAATATAAAAAACAAGAGCCGACCAGTAGCGGGAGCATGGTCCAAGCTACCGGTGGTTTTTTTTTTTAAGGGGGGAAAATTATCGAATGTCTGCTCCCGCCTGGGTGAGGCGGAAGGGAGTGTCAGACTCTTACTGACTAAAAACCACCCCGTTCCTTCTCCTGCACGTCGAGCCGGAGCCCCGGTTACCCGTTAGGTTCTCCGCGACAGCTACCGGTGGTTAGGGCTCCAGAGACAGAAGCCTCCTCACTATACGTGCCGTTTCTAGGAGAACTTATTGTTTATCTAGTATAATTGTTATTTATTTAATAATATAAGGTACCTACAAGGTATGCCTTACAATTTAACGCAATTTCCAAGAAAACAATAACCTAGCTATATCTAGTAATAATAACAAATATTATTTGTAGTAGCATGTAATGGATTGTGTTACTCACAATAAAACTAAAGCTAACTAATGGAGCTCGCTTTGTTAGAATTAGTTTGATCGTCTACCATCTGCGACCAGCCGAAATATGAGAATTATTCATATCGGATAATGTAGTGTACATAAACGAACATAATATCATACTTATTCTATATTTATGACTCTTTTTATCCACATTTCATATCCATAGTCGATTTTTTTTGTAAACAACTGATCGTGTGACTACAACATAGAGGTATATAATATGTCTTTTTTTATATTTAATGGACCAACGTTTGACCTCTATCTCGCCTGGTGGTAAGCCAAGATGCGGTCTCCGATGGAGCACGTCGTCCCATAAGCAACCTATTCACTCGGGCCTTGAAGACACCCAGGTTATATATAACCTTTAGGAATACAGCCTGTGGCAAAGAATACCACTCCCTAGTCCTCATTCCCCCTAGTCCTTTCTATTATCGTATCACAAGACAATCGACGAAGCGTCACCGATTGATGGTGCATCTCCCACCCACACGCTTGCCATCGCATCAAGCTTCTTTGTGCGTACTGCTAAGGAGTGGAATTCTTTGCCCAGAGTGGAATTCTTTCCTGAAGGGTTCCTAGGTATCTTCAAGGCCCGAGTGAATAGGTGGTTAATGGACAAATGGGCTTCATCGTAGGCAGCATCATCGCTTACGGAGTTTCTTACTCGTTCTTCTCCATTCGAATCATTACATTTTGGTATGAGCACCTAGTTTCACCCAGCTTCACTGACGGACTGATTGACAGACTATTATTTATTTTGTATTTGTTGACGTTTCAAAAGTACCAAATTATGGTTTAATTGAACTCAATGCTTTGTCTTCGACCACTAAGCGAGATACTGACCAATTGTTATATGACTGACTTTTTAGACGTATATTTTATATGAGCCTTTTTAGACTCATATAAAATATGAGTCTTCTCACTCCCTTCTCTTGGACTTCACTCTCACGCCTTGGATGAGGCGAGAGGGAGTGTATCTCATGTCATTGGATGATTTAAAAAAAATGAAATCACTAACAAAACAAAGAAAATATTTTTTTAATTTCAACGAGAAAAAAAGTAAATTAATAAAGCTTGTAATATTTATGTAAATGTGACACGGCAGACGGGTGCGTGTGGTTTAATTTGGAACAAGTGTCGCTTCCCGGGTGAGGCCTTTGTTGTTGTTATTGCTATGACGCCCCCATATTTTGTATTGTGGTTTCCTTGGCGTAAGAGCACGGTTGTGTTCATAATTTTCCTTTCATTTTAATATAGAAAACGAACGTATCTGGGTAATGGTTTTTTTTTTAAATGAAACTGACTTACTGAACGACAATAAAATTGTAATAAAGTTAAATATATGTCATTCAATCAGATCAGTGGGCTTACTCTTGAATCCAATTCCGATCGATCGACATTGGTATTGTGAAATTTCGTACTCTTGAGTTGCAATACTAGCGCCCATTGCATCCGTATTGTGTGAATATTTAATGAACTAAATGGTATTGAGTTTGGCTTTATATTCCGTACTCTGAATGCTGTTTCAACAGCTACGATAGGGGTTATATAATTTTGACATTGAATAATTATTGAGATTTTATTGAATTGACATTACATTGACATTGAGATTGGTTTCAAGAGTAAGCACCCAGAAAGATCAGAGATAAAATTGAAATGATAAGTTGATGAAGTGGTTGGAAATGCAACAATAGAGCAGAGTTCGATTCCTGAGTCGACAAAACATTATTACAATAATGATTAATACAAAACAGCCCTGGATAAAAAAAAATAATTCAGTTTGCAAACTTTTCTAAGAATTGTATACGTACCTACATAGACACACATAAAATAATAATAAAACATACATATAAACCCTCAAATTTAATATATGAAACAAATAAAAAAACCAGTCATTTTCCCTCAATGAATCAAATACCTAAATTTAGTAAAAAAAACCTTTTTGCAAAACCCCGTCTAACATATTCATCACTCTTCGCAGATGCTCATGCGCATCGTTCCGTGACACTAGACCTCAGTCCGTGAGTGCCCGCCGAAGCGAACGGACGTCATGGCTCGTTCTGCTATTTATTTATTTGTTACTATCGCGCTATGCATCGTGAGCCATGGAGCATCATATAAAGTTCCACCAGCGAAGTTAGAAGCCATCTATCCTAAAGGCCTAAGGGTGTCCGTAAAAGGTACGTTCTAATTTTTATTATATTATTAATTGACATGTCAATTTGTTTATAGTTTTTGCGTCGAACTGTGTTTTTCTCGCTATCGTAACAGTATAGATACTAATAAAGTTAATTAAACCATATAAAAGTTGTCAAAATGCATTTTTGATTAGGTTTACGGTTCAAACCTTGGGTTGGAATAGAATAGTGTTGTATTTGGATTTAAGACGATATAACGTAGCACAGAGTATGAAATTGTATCTTGTGTTTGTTAACAAATTCCCTATCGATTTAATTGTTTCGTCAGGTGTAGCTTATTATACGGACCTTGTGGAATCTAGAACAAATTTCCGTGCGTTTAGGTGCTTTTGCCAGGATTTATTTCTGTCATAAGAACCTTCTCCTAGCAATAACAAATACAACAAAAAAATCAGACAAATGGGTCTAGCCGTTCCCAAGTTATGGCGTGACAATAGGAAACTGGTTTCATTTTTAAATTTATTACAGACTAGCTTCTGTCCGCGATTATGTACGCGCAATACCTCTTTCTACCGGTCCCGTAGGATTAAATAAAAAATAAATAAAAATAAAAATAAAAATTGTTTATTGTACAAAATTTCACAATATTACATTCACAGAAATGCGGCGATTACATGAACGAGTGTGAATTACGATCGATACTGACACTGCCCTCCAAACTAAGCTATAAGCTTGTATTTTGGAAAACAGTGATTCAAGCGTGGAGTATGTCACAAAGTCGCATTATATGTCACTCTATAATGAAGTGAATGTCATGAAAGTGAATGAATGAAATGGGAGGAGCTGTAATCCAAAACAAAATAATAAAATATAAAGGGAATGTTAAAAGGACTACTTAGGTTAATTTTCCGGAATTGTGTGTGTGTGTGTGTGTGTGTGTATGTGTGAGTGTGTGTATGTGTGTGTCGGTTATGATATATTCGTAAGTAAACCTTCAGTTTCATTGTAATCAATTTGCTGAAGCCAATCACTGATTTTTCTTGTGACTTCTTTTCGGCTGAGTCGTACGATGTTCAGGTTTTTATTAATTTTGTTGTAGAGCTTGCAACTGAGACTATTGAACTGTCCTCTGGCAAAAGTAGTATTGGTGGGGATTTGCGGGCATACTGGCATCTTACTGCGTCTGTTTGGATTCGGTAGTGGAACATTCCTATGCCTTCTCAAAGTAGATTTGAGCACAAAGAGCTGTCTGACTGTTAATACCTTACATTCTAAGTACAATTTTGCGGTGGGATATCTGTATGGTTTTTTGGTCATCACTTTCAGTACAGCTCTTTGTGCTCTCTCAAGCATAAGGAAAAGCGTTTTGGTTGCCCCTCCCCAAACCGGTATGCAGTATTGGATGATGGACTGACACAGAGCCAAATAGACGAATTTTAATTTATCTGTTGGGGCAGAATTTCTTAGATGTTTAAATATGTGTATTAGCCTTCTCACTCTGGAGGTTACAGTATCTATCTGTTTATCCCATCTCAGTCGATCATCCAAGGTAACACCCAAGTATTTGACGCTTTCTGCCCTAGCTATTACCTCGCAGGCACAGTCCATCTGTCGAGAGTGACAAATGTGAGCTTTGATGGAGAAGTCACGTGGTGGGGCTGTATTTTTACGAATGGAGAAAGCCATAAAATGAGTTTTGTTAACATTTAATGTTAACAGGTTAACAGAGAGCCACTCCATCACTTTAGATAAGGAGTATTCGGCCGTTTCCTTAACCGTGTTCCAGTTTGGACCCCAAACAAATATGGCGGTGTCATCTGCGTAGGTGTATATGTTAGTATTTGGAAGAGTAATTTGGCAGAGGTCATTGATATAGATCTGAAAAAGGGTAGGGCCTAGAATACTCCCTTGTGGCACGCCATAAGTGACCTCAGCCTCATCACTTTCATGACTTCCTATTTTCACACGTTGTTTCCTATTTGTTAGGTAGCTTTCAAAGATTATCAGGACTTTTTTCTATCATAAGAACCTTCTCCTGACAATAATAAATACAACAAAGTTCTCAAGTTATAGCGTGACGATGGGAAACTGGTTTCATTTTTATATTATAGATTCCGCCATACCAGTGCTTTCTTCAGTGTCATTAAGTCGTGATTGCTTTTCCAAACACCTAATGAGACTTTGACATATCGGTTGCCATAATTGGGATGATGACAGGGTATGAAAATTAAAAATATAATTAGTCTGTAAGATATGTAATGAAAAAATATTAGACACGTATTTTTTATTTTGTCGTATAATAAAACAGTTCTTAGATAAAACGAATCAATGTGTACATAGAAGTGACGTCACGCGACATTTCAAGTCAATATATCGTCGAAAGTATTCGTTTCTGTAAGAAAACAATAAATACGTGTCTAATGATTTAAAATAATCTACCAGACGGACATTAAAATAAAAATTAGGCATCTACCCCATTCTGTCCAAACACTGAATAGCTATTTGTCATCAATAATCGTGATTTCAATATCGACCTAATATTGACGATGAATGTTACGATTTTATATTTTAAGGAAATATGTACACCGGAAAATAATATAAAATACATAATTGCTACCTTTTAACGTTAGCATAGTTATAATGATTAAGCATAATTAAAATGAATAAGAAGCTAAGTGTTCATGTCCAGCAGTCACATTCACTCAAAATTGTATACCAAATTGTATTTATACCTCTATGTTAAATAAATTTTATAATTACTTACTAAGAATTCATCTTACCGAGAATTCATGTAACTATACATTTAGGTACTGCATATGACAAAACAGTTCTTTGTTTTGGTTTAAAAATATCAAGTTCTGACTCACTGTCACCGTGTAAGTAAAGAAATAGCTGTGAGTATTTTTAATTTTTTTCCTAATTTGTCCTTATTATAGTGAATTACTTAGACAACATTATCACATCACATCAAAAGCCTATAAGTAGCCACTGCTGACCAAAGACCTCTCGTGAAGGTTTGAACATTAATCACCACGGTTGATCAATGTCGGTTGGTGATTTCAAACTAATTCCTATCCTTATGTTGAGAAACTGTTTTTCAATTTTTCTTACTGTTTACAATGTACAACAGTCATGTTTTAAGTGTCCATATACTGCCAATTTCTATAACATATCGTAATCCAAAATATATGGATTAAGATCGATTTTTGACAGAATCTCCGTACAACTACTGTCAATAATCGATCTATATCGACAGATTTTGGATTAAGATAGTTTATTGAAATTGGCAGTTAATTAACTAAAAATCGCGGGTTACTCACGTGAATATACTGAGAAAAGCTCTACTAGTTTCGAACCACTGAGAGGTTCTTCCTCATGAGCAGCGTGCGTGGTCGCGGCGATGTCGCGCAGCCTACTGTATTCACGTGAGTAACCCGCGATTTTTAGTTAATTTAGTGTGTCTCACGATAGTTATTATAAAAACATGTCCATATAATATTAAATTTAATGATATAATCAAAAATACCCTTGATTATGCCTTGCCTTGCTCGACCAGTGTATCAAACCCTTATATGACACAACACCAATCTTGCGAGCACTCGCCCAACAAGAAAGTTTCTTTATCCTATTAATATTTTCCCTATATTCTTATGAATTGGGATTTCCCCTAATTGTATGTTATTGTAGTTATGTGCTGTTATGTGTTAGACAGTCTATATTTACATTTTCCTTAACTACGTTAGGTACTAAGAAGTTTAATTGTTTAATATTCCACTTAGGGTAACTGATCACAATGCGGCATTTGACGAATGCATGCATCCTTCACAAACAATGAGCGCTTATCTTATATCTTATATACTATTATATATAGCGGATAAGTTTGTTTTTTTGTTTGTTTGTTTGAACGCGCTAATATCCGTAACTACAAGTCTGATTTGAATCATTATTTTTGTGTTTGATAGTGCATTTATCGAGGGTGGCTATAGGCTATAAAACATCACGCTACGACCAATAGGAGCTAAGCAGAGCGTGTAAAACCGCACGGAAGTAGCTAGTAAATGATAAATGCTTGCATCTTTAACGAAACTGTGCACGAAAACAGGCGACTCCTATCGTTTTTGACGAATGCATGCATTTGTTAAATGATACAATAAAAAAAATCGATAATGTCGGGTTTGGTACTTATAATTGGTGTAAATTGAGTGTCACAGTGTACCGAGACATAGTATGTCAACGTATTTCGTAAATTTGGGTGATCTACTATTAATAATGATAAATTAAACCTATGGTATTGTTAGTATTTAAAACTTTAGTAGTGGTATTTTTTTTGTGATATTATGTTTAGTTTATGTTTATTATGTTTAATGTAATTTTGAATTTTGAAATTTTATATTATGTAACTAATTTTGTCGTATAAGGCTAAGTACCTGTGAAGATTAAATTAGCTTTTTTTTATATAAATAAATAAATAAATATTATTTTTTTTGAGGGATAAAGCCGGTAAACGAGTAGATCATGGATCAACTGATGGTAGGCAATCGATGCCGCCAATGGGCATTCGAACCTTTAAAGGCGTTACAAAAACGTTGCCGGCTTTGGGATTGTTGGGGTTTAGGGATTAGAGAGGGCGTGAGGTTATTGGGCTAATGTTACGCGCATAATATGTGCACACAGTACAAATATGTTAACAATAAACACAAGAGGATGTCCAAAAAATTTAGATACAGGAAAAACCATATATTTATCTAGGTGCTTATAATAAAAAAAACAATGAGTAATGTAAACGTTACTTAGTATTAAATTGTTCTTATAATATAAATAGTTTTATCTTAGAATTATCATCTACGTCATCGAGTTGTTTACAAATATCATTTTAAGTAAATGACTGCTTTATTGGCTATTAATTGGAATCGACTGTCGAGTCTGCCATACTCAAGTTCTGAGTAGAGCAAAAAACTATTTTAAATGTTTGTAACCAAAATAGGTATTCAGTTACTTGGAATACAGTACATTATAATTGAAAAAAAAATTGTTAACGTCGA